ACGTAGTTGAGGTCCAGGACCCCGCTTCGACTAGTGCTAGTGATAGTGCTCCTGCTGATGTGCGTATCAACCTGGTGTTCTGGCACTGCCATGATTAATGAAGCAACCTCCCAGTACATCGGCTCATCACAAGCACCACAATACATAGAATTCACACTTGACAGCGGGGCCACTCACACTGTGCTCAAGGAGACACTCTCCTTCAAACCCTACGCAACACCCATTCCTCTCCTAGGAGCTGATTCAAGCTTCACCACTCTTGCCAAGGGTACATCCACAGTCCCGTGCCCCGCCTTCCCATCCGGCACTGTCACTGGCATGTGCGTGCCTTCACTACGCCACAATCTGGTGGCTCAGACGGAAATTCAGGTGGCAAGGCTACGCACCATCTTCTCTGAGAACGAGAACTATTGCGACATCATCGATCCACTCACCAACAAGGTCTTGGCTCGATTCACCCTCAATAGTAGCGGCCTCTACACGCTGCGCATACCTATCCCACAGGTGTCAACCACCCAAGCACAGGCCACTATCACACCATGCTCATGTCGCAGCTTCTCCAACCCGACCATCCTCTACCACCATCGGCTCGGGCACCCAAACTTCCGCACGCTTGCTGACATGGCCTCCAAGAAACTTCTTCTCGACCTGCCAGCCTCACTCCCTCCACCACCTGACTCACCCGCTCCCACGTGCCTTGACTACACCAAGAGCAAACTGCGCCAACAACAACACCTTGCATCACCCTCAGTCGCAGCAGCACCACTGGACCTAGTGCACATGGACGTCTGGGGCCCTGCCCCTGTTCCCGCACGAGGTGGCCATCGCTACTTCCTTGCTATAGTTGATGACCACTCTTGCTACGTCTCTGTTCACCTCCTCCACACTAAGGCTGAGGCTCCAAAGGTCATCATGGCGTGGGTAAATCAGGCACAGACCACCTTTGACCGCAAGGTCAAGCGCCTTCATTTGGATGGGGGTGGTGAATTTTGCAACGACAAGCTCAAAGCCTTCTGCTCCTCAGAAGGCATCCAGCAAAACTTCACCCTTCCTGACAGCCCGCAGCAGAACGGCATAGCAGAAAGCCGCAACCACACCCTGGTGCAAATCACTCGGTGCATCCTTAGCCACTCCAATGCTTCACTCTCTCTTTGGGGGTACGCCCTCTACCATGCCGCCTTTCTCTACAACCTTTACCCCCACCCGCACCTTCCCGACACCACTCCAACCACACTCTGGCTCGGGAAAACGCCCACTGCTCGCTCTCTTCGCGTCTGGGGGTGCACCGCCTATGTCCTCCTCAACCCTCAGGCTAGGCGGCAGCACGGCGGCAAACTCGGTCCCAAGACTCAAACGTGCATCTACCTTGGGCACAACGCCGACTCCCCTGACTACCTCTTCCTCAACCCCTCCACTCAACAGTCAGTCCGGAGCCACGACGTTGTCTTTGTTGAGACCCGGCCATTCCACTCCGCCTCGGGACGGGATCCTCCCTCCGGTCCACCCTCTCTCATGTGGGCGGACTTTGATGCGCCTCTTGAAATCCCGCCTGCGCCGGCCCCCTCACCTCATACCTCCCCTGCCCTTGCACCATCCCCCTCTGAGGTCTCTGACCCGACCTCACCAGTGTCTTCTGCAGCTGCTCCTCCATCCCCCTCACCTCCCACTCTGCCGACTACACCGCCACCTCCGAGCGCACCAATCACCATCGGCGGTCGAACCCTCCGGCCCCACCTCCTTCCCCCGCCCCCCTTCCCACCCAGGAACCCGCTCTCCCACAGCCACCCGAACTGATCACGTACCAGCGACGGCCAATTGCCCCGCCCAAGCCTCCTAAATCAACCCCTTCGACACCGCCTGCTCCACCCTCTTCTCCGGTGGCTCATGGCACTCGTTCGCATGGCCCTGCTCCTCCACTGGCACTGGCTATTCGATGCTCAGCGATCACTCCGACTCCTCCTGCCGGGGGGGATGTGCCCTCTACCCTTCTGGAAGACAGGCATGAGGAGCTGAGAGATCTTCACGCAGTCATTCCCCAGCTCTCGCACATCTTCCCCGACATCACTAAATCACCCTCACTCAACTTCACGGAGAACCCGACCATCCCTATCCCTCTCACCGTCCAAGAGGCTCTCTCGGGTCCCCATGCTGCCGAATGGCGTGCTGCCATGGAAGCTGAGATTGAAGCCTTCACTCGCAACCACTCATTCGACGACGAAACTCCACCTCTAGGAGTTAACATCGTCGGTGACAAGTGGCTGTTTCGAGTGAAACAGCTTCCGGACGAGGCCCCAGTGTTCAAAGCGCGTTACGTGGCCAAGGGATTCACCCAGCAGCAGTACCTGGATTTCTTCAAGACCTTCTCCCCCACATCCAAACCACCCACTGTTCGCACGCTCTTGGATGTAGCAGCACGAGAAGACTTTGAGATCAAATCCATGGATGCCTCTTCAGCTTTCTTGCAAGGGCGCCTCAAGGAGACTATATTTATGGATCGACCCGAAGGCTTTCCAGGAGAGTTCCCTCCCAACACTGTCTGGAAGCTGAATCGCCCTGTCTACGGCCTCAAGCAAGCCCCTCGTGAATGGCACAACAAAGTGAAAGAAGTCCTTCTCTCTCTGGACTTTCACCCATCCTCTGCCGACCCGACCCTCTTCATTCATCGTCACTCTGAGCCATTCTACATCCTTGTCTACGTCGATGACTTCATCCTCGTTGCCAAGGACTCGGCCCAGATGGCCTCTGTTCAGGAGGCCCTAAGCAAGGCCCTCTTGATGAAAGACCTCGGTGACCTCAAACACTACCTGGGAATGGAGATTACTCGTGCTCGCACCATCTCTCTTTCCCATGAGTTCTACATCAACAATGTGCTCAAGCGGTTTGAGATGGAGCTGTGCACACCTATAGCCATCCCACTGCCACTGCAACACCTCCTCACCGCCCCAGCTGTACCCACACCAGAGGCATGCACTAAGCCATACCTAGAGCTTATTGGGTCCCTCATGTACGCCATGATGTGCACCCGGCCTGACTTGGCATACCCTGTCTATGTCCTCTCTCGCTTTGTGGCTTCTGGGCGCTTCACAGACCTTCATTGGAGAGCGGCAAAACGGGTGCTGCGCTATCTGCAGGGCACCAAGTCCCAAGTCCTCACCCTAGGTGGACTTTCTCCTCCCCGACTGGAAGGTTACACAGACTCCTCCTGGGCGGATGACCAGACCGACCGTCGCTCCTCTCAAGGCTACTGCTTCACCCTTGGGAGCGGGATTGTCAGCTGGCGCTCCACCCGGTCGTCTGCAGTCTCCCTCTCCTCCTGTGAAGCCGAGCTCTATGCTGGCACCATGGCGGCTCAGGAGGCTCGCTGGCTCACCTTCCTACTCCAGGAGCTTGGCTTTCCTCAGCCCACTCCCACCCTCTGGTGTGACAACCAGAGCACCATCCACCTCTCCAAGGATCCCTTGTACCACACTCGCACCAAGCACATCGAACTCCGACACTTCTTCATCCGTGACCTTGTCCAGCGAGAGCAGCTCAATGTGGAGTATGTGGCTTCTGACTGCAACTTGGCTGATCTATTCACCAAGCCCCTTGGGAAGGTTCCTCACGATCGCCTTCTAGGCGCCATGGGGCTCTGCGCTCCACCTTCTCTGCCATGAGTTCGATTGATGCCTATGGGGGGGTGTTAATGTTAGTCCTCAATCTCACATTTGTACTTGCACTTTATATATCCTAGGTTAGTGTAGTTTGCACTTTGTGTTTGGTTGGGTGTACACCCACATCCCAACCAAACCCAAATGTAATCTCCAAGCAATCTCCAACCCACCAATTGGAGATTGCCTTGGGATTACCCTCGATTCCCAGGATTGCCCCTGATTCCCTTCTCATCCATGCCTTGCTCATTTCTGATGTACTTAAAGAGCTTTGAGCTCACTACTAATGTATCAGTTCTAAGCTTAAATTTTGACAACAACACTGTGTATGTAGGATACAGTTTATTCACGGGGTGGTGTGCAGTGTGTGGTTCACGAGTGCACACATATCATGGCTGATGATGACGTGGGGGTCAGTAATTTATCATTTTGGATCGCGGTAATCCGAAAGTCCACGACGTCGACTTGCATACATCATTGAATGCACAAACTGGTGTGTTCTGGATCAATAATCCGTAGCGTCATCTAGTGCGCATCAAACTGGTTACTCACGTAGCTTAAATGGATACTTCGATTGCCTTCGAGTATACCAAGGCGGTAGGGCGTTCCCGTCGAATCCCAATGCCGCCGGCGTATCTGCGGGCATCTTATCAGCTCATGATGCCGCGTGGTCGATTGTCAAATGGGACGCGTGGGGCGACATTGCCTAAGCGTTTGAATATTTCCAAGAAGGCCAAGGAGGGGGTGGCGCAGGAAGAAGGTATGCAAAATCGAGTTACTAGTTCATGCATTTTCGACAATTTGGTGTTTCAAATGGCGAGGTAGAAAATGTATCGGTTTGTTGGATGTATACTGACATGCGGCTGATGTTATTTTGTGTGCTGTATCAACAAAACAGATGACGGCACGGGCGCCGAGACTGCATATTCGTCCCGGAGAAGTGATGAGGATGAGGATGCCGACTCTGATGCATCGGCTTCGGGATCGCCCGTGGATTCTGGTGGCCGGGCTGCGAGGGCGAAAACGGTGGACAAAGGGTGCAAGGGTACCGCTACGCCTAATGATGGGACACAAGATAATCGCGACGAGACGGAACCGGAGTTACATCGTGTTGACGAGCGCACGCCTGTGGATGGACAGGTGAACCGCACAGGCGGAACACCATTGGGCACCAAATACGAGGATGTGCGCATCTCCAGCAAGGTCCTCGAGCAACTTATCCAGGCGCAGGATAAGAGCACAAAGGAGAATGCCAGGTTGGAGGCACTGTTCTTGAATGCAATGTCCAAGCCAGCCGGTGGCTCTCGACACCGTAAGGCGCAGAAGCAGAGAGAGTCGGGACAGGGGTGTATGAACCCCGAGCGTCAGCGTCTCAAGTCGTGGAGTGGGGAGTCAGATGATGACGCCGAGGACGACGACGACGAAGACATGCAGGGGTCGGGTGGCCGTCATATGCGCACCGCCAAGTCTCTTATACTGCAACGCGCTTTGGAGCATCTGCCGACAGACAAGGCATGGAAGGTGAGCGGGCAATATTCTGTTGAGGGCGGAACTAAATGCGCGTTATAGTTGCTATGTGGTGCCGTTGATGGTGTGCTGGGTATATTGACTTAGTGCAATGTCCATACATTCTGTGCGTAGCGGGTGTGCGAACTCGCCCGGGTGCACATGTTTCTCAACAAGCCCACGTCGACGATGACATTCTACCCGAGCAGAGACGATAAGGCACATGGCGTGTGTGTAGTGCTAGACCGCCTGCCTCATAGCTTCGCGTGTTTGGCTTTGGCGGCTGACAAGTCGCGCCGTGCGGATCTCAACAAGGGGCTGACGGAATGGAAGACCAGGGTTGCCACTCGCGTGAGGGACATTGCACTTCCCAAGCTCGGCATGTTCCGCGACGATAGGGACGCTGCCAGTCCGTGGGCACCGGACAAGGAGCGCAGCATCGATAAGATACGGGAGCGCATAGGGCTTGGATCTGACCCCCCTGGTGAGTGCAATGCTAGATGTATGAAGCATCACATATGTTTCGCACATTGTGTGGATGGCGGACAGTGCAACTGATCTGGCGCGTGTGGTGTGCAGAAACTCTGGTGCTCACGAGCTGGGTGACCGACAAGGACGGGATTCCGTTCGCATCCCGGGCCTTCGCGACCAGTGCCAAGGCTGCATTCAAGCCGAAGAAGGCTGGGCTGGTGATGACACTGAAGGTGTACCCTCACCTAGCCTGGTTGGAGCATGTGGTGAGTGTTTATGCTAGCAGTGGTTGTTATGGGGTGCCGGATTGGTAGACATGAGACTGACGTTGGTTGTGGGGGCGTAAGTATGCGATAGCGTCATCTACGGGAGGAGAGGAAGGGCCGGCTTTCCAACTCCACCGGTGGGAACGCCCATGTTGTGAATGGGCTCAAGGTCCTCGTGGAGGAGGCAGTGGAGAGGGCGACCAGGATCGGAAACCCCGAGTATGACGCGGAACGCGAGGTCTGGATATGGGGACGCCATGGCCTGCGCATTTCTGCGTGCGGACTGGAGCACATAAAGCCTATGGCTGCAGCTCCTTTCAAGGACCAAGTTGGGGATGATGGCCTTTCGACGTCATTTGGGGCAGAGTAGAGTAACAAGCATGTTGGGTGGATGGGTGGGCAGCGCCAAGAATGAGGGGGATGGTGGGGTGCAGTTATATTGAACATGAGTTACGTGAGTGAGCAGGAGGCGCATAGAGGAAGAGTGGGCGTGTTTCTTAGCATGCGGGATTTGGCTACTAAGGGGGGACTGTGTCTGATGCAAAATGTTAGGATGTGGTGTGTGTTACGTTGAATGAATGAGCAAATATAGTGTTCGACAACTGGTGTACAATATTGGCAACCATAGCACATAACGGATGTGCCAGATGGGGGGGCACTCGTCAACCAGGTGGACACGTAAGCGAATATGACGCCGCAATGTGCGGCTTGTTTCACGGGAGTTGCCGGATAGGGCGTGCGCGATGGATTGCCGCCGTCCAAATCGCGTACATGCGGACCAACGGGAGCGCAAAACTGCATGTGAATGAGTTGAGCGGTTACCAATGGCATACAAGAGAATCATGGCCGGATGGACTCATGTCACCCCATAGGCCGTAGTAGTGCTAATGTGGACACGCATATGCGGTGTAGAGGAGGGTGGCGCCAGAAGCAATGAGTGGTTCACGGGATGCGACATTTGTATGGTCGGGATGTAGTTGTGTGGCAGTGGCGAGGTGCGGTGGCGATGAGGTGTCGAAATTGTTACTGGATGTACGAAAGGCTGATCGGAGGACAAGTGTATAGTGTGGATGCAGATTGTGAGCGTGCAGTGGCAGCTGAGTACTGGTCACGATGCCTATTGGTGGACGGTGAGGATGGAGTCGTCAGCGAGGGATGTATCTACTCCTATTGGGTAGCGAGAGTACAGGCGACGTGTGAAACGCATGTAATAAGACACATGTACAGTGAGGATGCAAGGATGGCGCGTGGGCGGAAGATTGGTGGGCCATGCACGATTTGCCACGTGGGGCCATGTTGGAGGTGACAGTTAGCATGATTTGCGATATGCGTTTCGTGGAGGTGCATACCACGTGTCAGAGATGTACAGGGCGTGTGGTTTAAAGATGGACGGCGGAGATCAGTACGCGGTGTTTCAGCGAAGCTAGGCGAGATGGTGCAGGCGAAGGAGTACTTTGTGTTCGATTAGTTGGACGTGAGACACGTGAACCGCGGAGATTGCGTGACCACCTGTGGATCCGACGACTGAGCTGCGGGTTCGATGTGTAACGGGTGGCCAAGTGGGATGATACTGGATGCCACGTGCAGGGCTGATACTATCATACTATTTAGTCTGATTAGTCTGACCAATTAGACCTCACATTTGCTGGAAAATGACTTTTCAGAGTAGTGGAATTTTTATCCCTGAATACATCAGACTTAATGTATTGGGGCCCCTGATAACATGTAATAGGCTTCAAACTTAGCATTTTTTTGTGTCTGAATGTACAGAGTATGATTTCTGTGGGCCCTGGATTCGGGTTTATCGGGACGAAGGTTCTAGGAAGTTTCATCCTGATATACACTCACGAGGTGGAAGTGGAGTGTCAAAACGTGTGCAAAGCACGCAGCACCAGCTGGGGACACCCGAGTACACTCAATATTTTATTTTATCACACAAATCAGATAGTTTCAATAGTAGGTTAACCTTTGAAGCATGAAATTAACTTGAACCAATAAGTGATTTTGTGCGGATCGCTTCATGCGCACCGATAGGTGGGTGACGAAATAGCACCACATGAAAAGTATCGCAAATGGGTGCTGATTAAGCGTCTTTTCTCCACACCAGAATGTGTGAAAATGATATTACCCTCCATGCGGGGAGAAGCGATTGGGGCATACCAGGTGTAGATAGGCTGAAAATTTCTACAGCCTAGTTCTGGCGCGCTGCCTGCTGCTAGCTCAGCTGCGTGGCAGCTCGCTCACTCGGTTGCGCCGTGTACAACGTGTGTGTAACAAGGCGCGGTGCAAAGTTGGTCAAAACGCTGTTCAAGAAACGAATGGTCAAGAGTCCCGCATTGCACAGCGTAGAACCGACTTGGAAACAATATGAGTCGTTTTCAACCCTTGTCTTTTCTTGAACAGCTTGTTCAGGAAGTTGTCTTGAGCAACTATGCACCGCGCCCTAAAAGGCAACCCTGATATTGACTCGCCAACACTGAACAATCAGACAACGGACCTTCTCGTCACAGAGCAATCAGACTGCCCGTTTTCTGGCCGAAGTGCCTTCAAACTAAAAGCGGAAAAAAAAAAAAAAAAATGAAACTTCAGCCCTGGCCACGCGGATGGGCGCGTACGGAGTGGTAGTTGGGGTTGCTAGTTTGTCACTTTGTAGTTGGTTGGAGGGGATACTGTTGGTAAACTTTTGAGTGGTGCTGCTGAAAAAATTGTGCGACGCGACGTGTGTCAAAGCATGTTAATGTTTGTGCTGTGTAGGCTGTAGTGGGGTAGCCCATAAGGGGTACAACCCAATTAGGGTTAGTACTTGTACTCAGCTTCTACTCAATGCATTCATTCTCGTTCAGTAGTTTCACATGGTATCAGAGCAGGTCGTGTTCCAAGACCGTCTTTAGGGCCCACCAAATCGTACCCTGCCCGTCGCGCTGCCCCACCAGTCGCGCTGCCCTGCCCTGCCCTGCGCAGCGCTGCCCGAACACGCCCTGCCCTGCCCTGCGTTGCGCCGCCCCGCGCACGCCCTGCCTGCGTCGCGCTGCCCGCGCACGCCCTGCCCTGCGTCGCGCCGCCCCGCGCACGCCCTGCCTGCGTTGTGCCGCCCGCGCACGCCCTACCTGCGTCGCGCCTCGCGCGTACGCCCTCCCCTGCCCGTCGCGCCGCCCGCGCATGCCCTGCCTGCGTCGCGCTGCCCGCGCACGCCTTCCCATGCGTCGCGTCGCCCTGCGCACGCCCTGCCTTGCGTCGTGCTGCTTGCGCACGCCCTTACCCGCGTCGCGCTGCCCGCCCACGCCCTGCCCTGCGTTGCGCCGCCCCGCGCACGCCCTGCCCTGCCCTGCGTCGCGCCGCCCTGCCAGCCGCGCGCCGCCCTGACCTGCTCGTCGCGCTGTGTTTGTGCTGTGTAGGCTGTAGTGGGGTAGCCCATAAGGGGTACAACCCAATTAGGGTTAGTACTTGTACTCAGCTTCTACTCAATGCATTCATTCTCGTTCAGTAGTTTTACAGTTGCGGTGGAGCTGTTCAGTGGAGAATTTCTGGCGGTGGCCAGATGCAGCTGCAGCAGCGTCCGCGCGAGACCCTTACGCCCTAGAAGCTTCGTGAGTGGTACGCTCAGCGTGGGGCGTCTCGGAGTACTGCTCGCTGCCCATACATCATTCGCAAAGGTGATTGGGCTGGTCAGACTTGCGGGTTAGTTAGCCACACACACTCCCGCTGCTTCGGCTGTCTGAGCAAAACCTGGCGCGCAGAGTTTGGAGACAAGGCTGAGCTCCCCCGCTGGTTAGAGCTGCTTCAAAACAATGTGGATATATTTGCTCTTGACTATGACGCTATCCTTACTGCCATGTATGCTTTGACTGTTGGTATTTAGGGTGACTGTTACCTGTGTGTGCCGCCCGACCCTGGTATAGAGGCTGCTGCTCTAGGTGCTAGTGAGTCTGCTCTCTCTGGTACTGCGCCTGCTGAGGCCTTGCACACCTTCACGCTTGACTCAGGTGCTTTCCGCTGCTTCTTTCGCGACAATACCACCGTCACACCGCTCCCTAGACCCGTTGCAGTCTCACTGGCTGACCCCTCTGATAGGGGGGCCGGTTCTTGCACGTTCCTCTGCTGTTCTACCGTGTCCGGCGGTTTTGTCCGGCTCACTGTCAGGTCTCCACCTCCCCTCGTTCTCGACGAACTTGGTGAGTAACGCAGTCCTTCAGGATGCATGGGTTGATAACTTCATCCCTGGAGGCCAGCGTGTGGCGATCTGTACGTGCTCCCGGACTGGCCGTCACCTGGCCACGTTCACCCGTCGGCCTGGGTCGAGCCTGTACACACTGACTACTGAGCCTCCCCAGGAATGTACGTCTACATAGGTGTCCGCGTCAGGTCAGGTCTCAGCCCCCTACTCGTGTGGCCTCCTCTCGCACCAGACTCTCCTCTGGCACCACCGCCTTGGTCACCCCTCCTTGCCACGCCTCCGTGGCATGCACTCCCGCCTCCTTGTCTCTGGTCTTCCCAGGTCTCTGCCACTTCTCCCGTGCTCGCGTGCCCTGCCCTGCCTTCCTTGCGTCGAGGGGCGGCAGCGCGCCGCTCCTCACTCCTCCTCGTTTCCCCCGACGACTGCTCCCCTACAGACTCTCCACATGGACGTGTGGGGCCCAGCCCGCGTCCAGGGACAGGGCCGCGAGCGATACTTTCTGCTGGTTGTTGACGACTACTCGCGTTACACCACGGTCTTCCTCTTGCGCAGCAAGGGGAAGGTCCCTGATGTCTTGATCCCTTGGATCCGTGCTGTCCATCTCCAGCTCCGCGAGCGGTTCCGCACGGACCTTCCTGTCCTGCGTTTGCACTCTGATAGAGGTGGTGAGTTCTCCTCCGACCTCTTGCGGGACTTTTGTCGTGGGGAGGGCATCCTCCAGTCGTTCACGCTTCCAGGCTCCCCGCAGAAGAATGGGGTTGCCGAGCGTCGCATTGGCTTATTCATGGAGGTGGCTCGTACCAACATGATCCATGTGGCTGCTCCCCATTTTCTGTGGCCGTTTGCGGTCCAGTACGCTGCGCATCAGCTCAACCTCTGGCCCCATGTCTCCTTGCCAGAGACCTCGCCTACACTGCGTTGGACGGGGAAGGTTGGCGATGCGTCGCGGTTCCGGGTCTGGGGCTCTCGCGCCATTCCCCCTGACGCGCCTGGCTGGCAGTTTTACCACCCCACCTTGCGTCGGGTTCTGCCCTCTCAGGATGTCACGTTTGACGAGTCGGTTCCCTTTTACCATCTCTTCCCCTACCGCACTGCCCCTCTCCCCCCCCCGCCGCTCTTCCTCGCTCCAGGTCCCCTCCAGTAGACCCCCTCCCCCCTCACGGTCCTGCCCCTTCAAGTGTCTCTCAGGTAGACCC